GCATTCGCTGGCCTGTCGGCCCTGGACTGGCCCAGCTCCGGCACGCTGAGCGGTACGTGTGGCACGAACATCGTCTTCGCAGAGCCCTTGTAAATACCCTCCAGGGAGGAGGCCACTGGAATCCGGGGGCAGAGTGACTTAGGGATGGGAGTGCGTGGCCGCGATGCCACGTTTGAGAGTTCTGCTCTCCTCAGAAGGCTTTGCGTCAGTAGAGGACAGCGGCTCATCGTGCCCACGTCCTGAACAAATTGGGTGACATGTGCCTCGGGGACCACAGACGCCAGCCGTCTGAAGGGAAAGGAGGAGGAGCGAACTTACCTGAGTAAAAGTCTCAGGCCACACTGGTTTCTCCTCTCAGTCGTGACGGCCTCGGTCACCGCTAAGGAGGGAGTCTTTGAAGCACCTGTTACCACTCTGTGTGTGGTGTGGATAGAAGAGAGCGGGTCAAAAGGGGAGCAAAGAAGGCAATAATGACATTTGATGCTAATGATCTGGCTCGCGGGGAGTGTGGGTGCCTCATTGCTCCCGATCCATCTAACACTGACGACAAAGCTCATTAGTCCTTGTGCCGGAGGCTGGACGCAGAGAATGGGACAGTGGCGCTCATGTCAATCACATTAGCTTCTCTGTAGTGGCTCCGAAGCAAACATTGTGCCAAGAGACCGGGGCCTCAAAAAAGGAAGCCGATCTTAGTCAACCGTGTCTGCCTATACCACTATCCCCAAGGTGGGAAAGGGGGAGGGGCTTAGTGTGTGAGAAATGGATAAGCTGAAGGAGAACCGTTGGGCAGCTAAAATTTAAAAATTAAAAAAAAAAAAGCTACTTAAATACATCCTAAAATAAAAGGACATTTGTATAAAAGGAAAACAAAGACCCAAGTTAACGTTTGCTTCTGTTACCAACGGCGCTTGTTTATTTATTATGTTTATGTAAAAACAAAAAAAAGGAATTACAATAAAAAGAAGATTCCACTTGTAAGACGGATAAGCATACTCCACCCTGTCTTTCCTACCATATGTAGCTGTGAAGTTTGCAAAGAAGACTGAGGACTCTAACAAGAAACGGGATCAGGCAGATTGGGGAAGGAGACCAGAATTTGAGGTACCACCAGATTGGATGAGTTTCCTTTTTTTTTTTTTTTTTTTTTTGTCTTCCCTGGTATCACATGGCATAGACCCGAAGGTGACCCAAAACCCAGTAGAGCACACTGGTGTGGACAGGACGATCTTCAAAGGAAGTCCTCACTTTCTGGCCTGAGGAGAAGAAAAGTGGACTCCTACATGCAGATGAGTGAGGGAAGTCACTGTTTTGTTTCTTCTTATTTCTTTCTCTGCTGTCCAACTTCTCGTCATCCTTCAGGGAGAGAGCAGCCGTCGGTTTGGGCAGTCATCTCAAACTGTAAAGATAGAGAAATCCTCTCCAATGAGGGGAAGCATGGTCCCACGAGTATGGGGGTGAATTCCCATTACTTTTTCTCCCTCCAGTTGTACTCCTGTAATTCGGCACCAGACTGATTGAGACAGTAGCTAGAAGTAGATGCTTGAGCAGGGAAACTAAAGCCCCAGCCTTCTGGAAGAAGGATCCCAGGGAACTTGGAAGTGTTGAACAGATCACCTAGAGGAGGGAGCTCAAGAGAGATAGCACATAAAATCCTGTATGAACTCGTGGGTTCACTTCCAAGCTGTGCAAGTGTGGATCCGGACCCTAAGCAGCATTCTGAACACTTTGATATCTGACATATGGACTGGATGATTCCACTGAATGGAACACACAGTGGACAGATGCAGATAGCATTGCAAAAGCTTTGAGAACACGGACATTCAAATCACAGCTAGCAGAGGTGCTTTGGAAATTACAGCCTGAACTTACCATGTCGATCACCTCCCTTAAAAGGAAAATCAGCTTTTTCCTAAGGATTTAAAGACTCAGAGTCTCATAACATAATAACCAACATTACTCAAAATTACTCAGTGTATATGAAGAACTAGGATAATCTCAATTTGTATGGTAAGGGACAGTGGGCAGTTGCCAGTGCTAAAGTGTCACGTGTTGCAATTAGTAGACAGAGACTTTAAATCATCTATTATAATGAATGGTTCAAAAAGTATGGGTAAACACTCTTGAAAAGAATAGAAAGGGGGTGGCTCTGTTGGCTGAGCATCCAACTCTTGATTTCAGCTCAGGTCATGATATCACAGTCATGGGATTAAGCCCTGCATAGGCCTGCTTAAGATTCTCTCTCTCCCTCGCCCTCTGGCCCTTCCCTACTCACGTGTGTGTGTGCGCGTGCTCTCTCTCTCTCTCTCTCTCTCTCTCTCTCTCTTAAAAAAAAGAACAGAGTGTAAGGAGAGAGAGGATATAATGTATAATCAAATATTTTAGAATTGAAATATATAATAACCAAAGTTAAAAATTTTTAAATTTATGGATGAGCTCAATCCAGAAAGGAGATAATTGAAAAGTCAGTGGATTTAAAGATAGATCAATGGAAATCTCAACAACAGGGAATAAAAGATTGAAAGAAAAAATAAACAGTCTCAGGTTATATAGGGCAGTACTAAAAATGTCTGACATTTTTGTCATCAGAGGTCTGGTGTGATTTGAAAAAAAATATTTGAAGAAATAATGGTTGAAAACTTCCTAAATTTGGTAAGACATAAACTTTCATATTCAGGAAGACCAGCAAATCCTACTAAATAGGATAAACTCAAAAAAATCCATTCCTGGATACATCATAAGCTGCTGAAGATTAAAGAGGAAAAAAATCTTGAAAGCAACTAAAGAAAAAAATGATACATAACATATTATAAAATAACAAGTTGAATGACTGCAGATTCTTCATTAGAAGCCACCAAGGCCAGAATGATACTTATTTTTAAAATACCCAGTGAACATATCCTTCAGATATGAAGATGGAATAATGACATTTTCAGATAAAAGAAAACAAAAAAATTCGCTGCCAGAGACCTGCTCTAAAAGAAATACTGATGGACAGAAAATGCCAGAGGAAATTTTGGAACATCAGGAATGAAAGAAAAATAATGATGATAAATATCTGGTTAAATATAATTAACTATTTTTCTCTCGAGTTCTGTGAACTATGTGTAATGACAAAACAAATGTAACACTAATGAACTTCTCAGTATGTATAGCTGTAATATATATAACAACTATAACATAAAAGAAGAAGGTCAAGGAACCAGTATCATGGTAAGATTTCTCACTTGATGTAGTAAAATATTAATTCTAAAACAGACTGTGAAAAGCTAGATGTATATACTGAAATGTTTAGAGTAACAACCAAAAACACTATACATAGAAATTAATAAAAACTCAATAGATAAATTAAAATAGAATAGTAAAAAATACTCAAATAATCCAAAGAAAATAAGAAAGAAAAACAGGAACAAAATGTGGGTAGAAGCATAAAAAGTGGTATATCTAAATTGCAACATTTAAACAAACTACATTCAATATAAATGATTTAACAGGGGCGCCTGGGTGGCTCAGTCGGTTAAGCATCCGACTTCAGCTCAGGTCACGATCTCATGGTCCATGAGTTTGAGCCCTGCGTCAGGCTCTGTGCCGACAGCTCAGAGCCTGGAGCCTGCTTCGGATTCTGTGTCTCCCTCTCTCTCTGACCCTCCCCCCATTCAGGCTCTGTCTCTCTCTGTCTCAAAAATAAATAAACATTAAAAAAAATGAAAATCGCTTCTCGGCCTTTTGGCTAAGATCAAGTGTAAAAAAAATGAAAAAAATAAATGTTTTAACATACCAAATAAATAACAGATATTGTCAGAATGGACTTTAAAAAAATACCAAGGGATAGGTTGTCTACAAATAATACAATTTAAATGTAATGAGATGAGTAGGTTGAATGTAAGAGGTTAAAAGACTTACTACGTAACCACTAATCGAAAGAAAACTGGACTTGCCATATCAATGTCAGAAAAAACAGACTTCAGAGCAAGGAAAATTATCGGGGATAACGAGGATCGTTACGCAAAAAGAATTGCGTAAGTTCACCAAGATGACATAAAAAGTGTATGTACCTCTTCTCCCATACACAAAAATCAACTCAAAATGGAATAAAGATTTAAATGTAAGACCCAAAACTGTAACACTTTTGGAAGAAAACAGGGGAAACTTCATGACATTAGTCTTGGCAGTTATTTTAATGATTATCACTTAATGATTTCAGTGACTTCAGTGATTGTCATTGGATATGACACCAGAAGCACAGGCAACAAAAACAAAATTAGGTAGGTTGGACTACATCAAACTAAAATACTTCTGCACAGCAAGAAAAAACAGTCAAGTAAAAGGGCAACTTCTGGAATGGGAGAAAATATTTATAAACCATATATTCAAGAACAGGTTAATTTCTAAAACACACAAGGAACTCCTATAACTCAGTAGCAAAAACAAACAACTAATAACCTGAATTGGAAATGGGCTAAGGACTTGAATAGACATTTCTCCAAAGAAGATATATGAGTGGCCAACAGGTATATGAAAAGATGCTCAACATGATTAATCATCAGAGAGAGAGAGAGAGAGAAGGAAGGAAGGAAGGAAGGAAGGAAGGAAGGAAGGAAGGAAGGAAAGAAAAAGAAAGAGAAAAAGAGAAAAAGAAGAAAGAAAAAAAGAGAAGAAAGAAACAAGTGCTGGTGAGGATGTAGAGAAATTGGAAATCTTGTACTCTGTAGGTGGGGATGAAAAATGGTGCAGCCACTATTGAAAACAATGTAAAATTTCCTCAAAAAATTAAAAATAGAACTACCATATGATCCAGAAATTCCACTTCTTATTTATTCAAAAGAACTGAAAGCAGGATCTTGAAGAAGTATGAGCACTCTCATGTTCCTTGCAACACTATTCACTATAGGCAAGAGGTGAAACAACCCAAATGTCCATTGACAGACGAATGGATAAAATGTGGTATATACATATAATAGAATATTATTCAGCCTTAAAAAAGCAAGCTGTCCTACAATAAGCAACAACGTGGATGAGCCTTGAGGACACTATGCTAAGTCCCATAAGCTAGTCATAGAAGGATGAATACTGCAGGATTCTACTTACTATATCTAAAACGCAAATTCATAGGGGCAAAAAAATAGAATGATGTCTGCCAGGGACTTGGGGGACAGGAGAAAATGGGGAGTTGCTAATCAATGAAATTATGAAATTTTAGTTTTGCAAGATGAATAAGTTCTAGAGATCTGATGGACAACATCGTGCCTCTGGATAACAAAACCGCATCGTACACTTAAACATCTGTGTTAAGAAGATAGATCTCATGGTAAATAATCTCACCAAAAAAAAAAACTGTCTCCTAAAAAGAGTATATTAACAGTGTATGTACCTGACAACAGAGCTTCAAAGTACATGAGACAAAACAGAACCGAAAAGAGAAATGGGTGATTATAGTTGGTTGGGGACTTCAGCATGGCTCTTGCAGTAATTGATAGAATAAGTAAGTGGAAAACCAGTAAGAATGTAGAAAAACTGAACAATACCATTAACCAACTAGATCCAAATGACATTTATAAAGCATTCCTCCTCAAAATAGCAGAATAGACGTTGCTTTGAAATCCTCAGAGATCATTCACAAAGATAGATGATATCCTGAAACATAAAACATATCTAAAAGCAGTTAAAAGAGTTGAAATAGTTCAAAGTGTGTTATTTTACCGTAATGGAATTTAGCTAGAAATCAACAACAGACAGGTAACTGATAAATCCCCAAATGCTAGGAAATTAAAGAACTGCTTCTAAGTAATCCATGGATCAAAGAGGAAGTCTCAGGAAAAGTAGAAAGTATTTTGAGGTGAGCAAAAATGAAAATACAACATACCACAATTCATATGAAGCAGACAAAGCGGGGCTTAGAGGGAGATATATAGATTAAGTGCTTAGGTTAGAAAAGAAGAAAAGATCTGTAATGAACAATCTAAGCTTTCACCTGAAGGAGCTAGAAAGAGGAGAGCCAAATAAATCCAAAGCAAGCAGAAGGAAAGAAAAACAATAAAGTGTAGATGTCAAGGAATTTCAAAACAAAATTAATAGAGCCAATGAAGTCAGAAACTGGTGTTTCAAAAAAAAGCAATGAAATTGATAAATCTCTAGCCAAATTGACCAGGAAACAAGATGCAAATTGTCAATACTAGGAGTGAAAGAAGCTATATCACTACAGATCTCACAGACATTAAAAAGTAGGTGAATACCACAAACAAGTCTGTGTACATAAATTCAACAATTTAGAGGAAATGGACCAAATTCTAGAAAAAACATCCTATCAGGACTCACTCAAGAAGTAGATTACCTGAACCGTTCTGTATCCTTTAAACACATTTTTAAACTCATAGTTAAAATTTCACTGCCCAAAACCCAAAACCCAAATCTCCAGGTCCAGATAGTTTTCTACCAAACACTTATGGAAGAAATGCCACTAATTTAACATGAAAATAGAAGAGGGGGCAGGACTTCCCAACTCACTTTATGAAACCAGCATTACCCTACTGCCAAAACCAGACACATTACAATAAAATTACAGGCCAATGTACCTCATAAACATAGATGTAGAAATCCTCCCCCAAATATTAGCAAATTGAATGTAGTAATATATAGGAAAAATAATAAACCATTTCCAAGAATAATAAACCATTTCCAGGATTAGACCTGGAATGCAGTGCTAATTCAGCATTTGAAAATCAGTCACTGTAATCCACCATATTAACAAGCCAACGAAGAAAAGAATCACATCATAATGTCAATTGATTCGGAAAAAGCAATTGTCAAAATTCCACATACATTCGTGATAAAAGCTCTTCATCTGGGAATAGAGGGCAACTTCCTTAACCTGACACAGAACATCTACAAAACTGTGCTGCTGGCATCTTATTTAATAGAGAAGGACTGAACACTTTCCCCTTAACACTGGGGCTAAGACTAGGATGTCCATTCTCACTGTTCCTATTCAACATCATGCTAGAATTCCTAAAAAAAATTCCTAAGGAAAAAGAAACTAAAAGGCTTACAAGTTGTAATAAAACCATTCTTATTTGCAGACAACATGCTTGACCATGTAGAAACATCTCAAGAAATCTATGAAAAAGCTCCCAGGCTACGTTGTTCATTGGATTGCAAAACTCTATAACCAATCTGGGAAGTAGTCTAGCAGTTTCTTATAAAGGTAAACACGCTCTTACCATGTGACCCACCATCCCATTCCTCCTTCATGCAACAACATGGACATATCCGTTGTTTCCAGGCGTTAGGAGTATACAAGGATCAGGATGAAAGAGTTTTTTTGAGGGGGTGATGGAATTGCTCTGTGTCTGACTCATCGTGATGATTACCCAAATCTACATATGTGTTAAAACCCATAGATCTTGAACATATTAAGAAACTCCTTGATTTTGGTATGTTAATTAGAAAAAATTGCGTCTAAAAAGTTACCAGTTTTCGTGGTAAAAGTGAATGGTACCTGATGTTCTTGTGATTGCTCATTGATAAACTAGATGAGATCCCTATTGTCCAGTAGAACGTTCTGAGATGATGGAAGTGTTCTATTTATGCTGTGCGCAATGTGGTGAACACCAGCCCCCCTGTTAGCTAATGAGCACTTGAAAGAGAGCTAAAATGTCAATTTATTTCATTCAAATTAACTTAAAAAAAAGCCCACACATGGCTAATAGCTACTGTATTGGACAGAGCAAATATAGATGGTTGCAATAATCACTGTGATCCCAGACAGCAAAGAAATCCTAATTCTTTTTATCCATCCATTAGAGAGGGATAAAAGACAATATGACTGGTTTGTATTTCTTGACTCCAGGATTTTCTGATTTTGTCCCCCTAGTTCCGTAAATTCTTTATTTGTTAATAAAAAGGTAGACTGTGACTTCCGCGAGATGACATACAGAGGATGACACTGAGGTTTGGACTCACATCAGCCAAAGAAGTTAGTAGATAAGTTCAAGTGTGTGATAATGAATACATACAGGAAGCCCAAGCCCAAATAAGGTTGTTGTCTTTCTGTCAATAACTAGTGCCTGTTTCAGGTGCTGAAAACACTGTTTGCAACCCCTGTCGTGAGTACTGAAAATACAGTCCAAATCCTGTTTTCACCCTAGTTAGTTGGAACGGTGTAGACATTAGAGTCAGTCCAGGGTTTATGCAAGTGTCGGGAAAGCAGCACATTGAAGGGACCGCCATTCCCCTGAAGTGTGTGTTAGATTAGCGGCTTCCCCCTTCCAACAGGGTTCTGTTGGAACCTGTGAGAAGTAGGAACACAACCCAGGCCTGCTGAGTTCAGCTCTGTGATGGAAATGTTTGGCCGGTATTTCTTTACACTCCGTCTGGACTTAGTTTGCAGTAATTTTTCCCCCTCTTATTCATCGTTTTCTTGGGGACGTAGTGTGATACCTCCTTTTCATGTGTGTTTACTTTTCATTCTTTCGTTAATTGGAAGCACCTTGAGGTCAGAGGTTAGTTCTATAGATATGTCTCCTTTTAAAAAATATGGCAGCCTTTGCAACATTTTCTGTCTCTCTCTCTCTCTCTCTGTCTCTCTCTCTTTTTTTCCTGATTCCATCTTAGAAGGAATGCAACCCACAGAAAGAATAACTTGGCCATGATGAAATAAGCCAGTGATCAAGTAATTCAGTTTCTCAGCTCTTTGACCTTCTAACTAACTCCAGCTAAAAGAGCTCTCGGGCTCTCTAACGGTATGTCTTTAAAGCTGCAGAGGGACTGATGATAACTTTGAAAACGAATTGGGAAGTACCACTTTCTGGTGTATTTTCAGATGTAGTTGTTGCTTCTCAAATTGGGGGCGTGTTTGCCTCCAGGGACTGAGGCCTACACTGCAGGTTTATACAACCTCAGGACAAACGTGGATGGGCTTCCTGGAGCTGGTTCCCTCGTGGATTTTGGAAAGCAATGTTGAATGATCTTCAGTGGAAACATTGTTTTTAAGCTTTTACTATTAAGGCAAAAAGTGATATATTACAGAGTGTATTATATGGCTCGCATGCATTTCAGGGAGACTTCCAAACAGAATCTTTTTCCTGGCAGACTGCGGACTTCTTTGGGCACACCATTCCTGTCGTCTGCAGATGAAGTACAGAGTACCAAAAAAATAAATAAAGAAAAAGAAAAAGAAAAAAAAGAGAAAAGAAAATACTGAGCACCGCTGTCTGAGGTGTAGTCAGGTGAATTTTTGCCCAGTGGTTTGGAAATGAATAGTCCACAAATCCAGATGCTTAGTAATAAAATATATCACCTCATTTCCCCACGTTTTCCCGTAGTTTTCTTGACATTTAATATCAAAACATCAAATTTAAAATCTGTCTTTTACCTGTAAACTCACCAGCTCTCCGTTTTTCTCACCTCACTTTTATCTTTTCCTTCCTTGTCTTCTTTGGACATTGATTAGAAGAACTGAGGACAGAAAAATAATGCATACCATAATGAAGTATGGAAAATTGGACATCTGCCTACTTAACTTATAGTATTGTACTGAAGATGCATCCAGAAAGGTCTTACAGTTTAATATTCTTTTAATAAGTTGTACAGGGTGTTGCAGAGTTGTGAGGAGATGTCTGCACTGAGAATCAGGACATCTGTGGGGGCTAGTTGTGGCTTTGTTATTAACTCTCTTTAACCTTGGGGAAGTCATTTCTCCCATTTGGAACCTAGGATTATCCTCAGTCAGATGAGTTTCAGTGCCCTTGCCCAGCTCTAAAATGTCACTATTCTGTTTTCCTAATCCCACGAGGAATGATCTAATCCAAAGACTTTGGAGAATTTCAGTAAGTAACATAGAATAACCTTATTCTTGGCTCTGTGGTCTTTTTGGTGCTCTCTAATGCTTGTAGGGATACTGAGTGTATTCGTTCTTTAAATATTTAGTTTCCTTGCCTATACCATGCTGCATTGAATCCAACCATAATTGCAATGGTTTCTTCCACCATAACAATAATGAACTTACCTTGGTCAACCCTGGGCTGTAAAGCCCCTTGAAAACTTTGGAACTTTCTCTTTCTGAGACCACCATTGAATTTTAAATTTGTAGGTTTGATCAGCTTTTGTGCAACTAGGAAAGCCTGGTCTGTTATTGGTGCCCAAGGATTTTTCTTTAGAGGATTTCTCCTCTTCCCTTTATTTCTCAATTTGAACTAATATTCTACCCTGGGCATTACTCCAGATGTCAGACTATCACCAGGGTGCAGGCTTTTGGACAGTTTCTCGGCAAGTCGTATTAGGTGTACATGATGCTTCTAGAAATACATTGCGGATAGTACTCTAATATTTCATGCTGGACATTTTGAACAGTCCCTTTGTGAGACAGAAAAGCATCTCACATCTCTGCGCTTGTCTCTGTCCCTTGTTCAGGCACTCTTTGCATCTTGTTGGGGCTCACACAATAGGCTCTTCCCTTGTGTCAGTAATTCATTATCTTCTCTCTTTGGACGCATCCTATACCCTGTTGCCACAGTAACAGAAACCTTCAGCATAAATAGCATCACCTCCTGTGAGAACCTTTAATGCCTTTCTCCTACACTTTCCTGCTCTTCAAAATCTTATCTCAGCTTGACTGCTCTGGTTTTATCTCTACCCATCTCCTTCATGTACCCTGCCATGCTAGCCAAGCAAGATTGGCCACCAGTCATTCTCTGAGACAGCTTGTACTGTCTAACCCACGTGGTCTGTAAGCACCCGGCTTTGCTGCCTGGAAAGACATCCCCACCATGTTTCTTCCCGCTTTGTCTACCCAACTTCGGGGCCCACCTCAACTGCTTCCTTCCTGAAGCACTACCCTGTTCCCACCACGCTTCCTTACCACCTGTCTCTTACATCAGAAATTGCCATCTTTCTTTGGTCTCACAATACTCTATCTCTCTTTGCCTTGAACATCTCAGATGTTGGCACAAAACTGTGAGGATAGATGCTGTAACTTCTTCACGTTTATTCTGACCTCAGCAACAAGCAGTGTCTTACATGTTGCATTTAATAAATGTCTGCTGACTTGAATGACACTGAATTAGGGTAGGTTTGGTATAATATTGCTGCAGATGAGGATTTTTATCTCCCCTGTT